CAGGAAGTTCCCCTTGGCGAAAAGGAAGTTCATCTCGCAGAGCATGGCAATCTTGATGTTGTTCATGCACGCCTGGACCGCGTCGCCGGGCTTGAAGCGACGCGCGGGCGGTTGAGCCAAGAACATGAAGTAGAAACTCATCGGCCCCTTGCCCGGCCTCGGCATGTCGGCATGATCGCGGATCTGAGTGTACTCTGGCTTGCCGAGCAGCTCCTCGAAGTACTTCGAGGCATTCTCAATATTCATGCCATTAGCGTGCTCGATCGCGTGGTTTGCCAATGCTACGATGCTATCACACAAGTCGTTCAGGTTCTGCGGGATGTCCGCTTCAGCTGGAGTGTCAGGGCCTACCATGGACTCACAAGTCTGCGGCACCCATTGCATTGCCTTCAGGAGGTTGACGCGGTGCTCGCAGGTGGTAAACTCTTCGGCGAGACGAACCTTCTCCTCCGGAATCGCTTTCGAAGTAGAGAGTTCCGTGAACTTGTCGTTGACGGTCTTCGCATATGCCATCACCTTCTCAATCTTGCCAAGAGCAATTCTTCTGGCCGCCGACAGCTTCTCACTCGCGTCCCAGACTTTCCTGGCCCTCTTTTTAAGAGCGGGCCCCTCAAGGGCCAAGCTCTGGCTGCGGCGACCCCCCGCTGGACCCCCTCCGCGGCCTCCGCGGCCGCGGCCTGCAGGTAGTTCTTCACCAACTTCTTCGGCATCATCGATTGGGGCTGGCTGGCGACTCCCCTGTACTGATCGGGACTGCCCAAGGGCGCCATCAGACACAGACGCGGCAGCCGATTCTGCGCCTTGTAACGCCTTCAAGTAATCATCCTGGGTGAATTTCTGCTTCAGTACGCCCGTTCTCGCGACGTCTGTCCTCTGTTAAGTTCCTCCCTCTGACTTCGCGTAGGCCTCAACATCAACGAGTAGCCAATGGATACCCCCCCCGTGATTCGATCCTTGGTCGTATCTGTCTGCGCGTATGATTGCGCCTTCAAGTGCCCCCACTCACTTTGGCAGCGCGCGGGGGTCCATCCCAGCTCCGTCTTCATGAGGTTCGAGAAGCCGATGAACGTCTTCCACGCCTTTTTGCGGCACGCCAGGTCGCGGTTCACCTGGGAGTCGAGCTGCATCACCTGAAGCGCGTTGAACGGGAGAGTCTGAACGCCTCGTCCCCCTTCCAGACTTTGCCGCGGCGGCCTGCACGATCATGCTGAGGTAATTCGAAGAGAGAGAGAGAGAGAGAGAGAGAGAGAGAGAGAGAGAGAGAGAGAGAGAGAGAGAGAGAGAGAGAGAGAGAGAGAGAGAGAGAGAGAGAGAGCCCATTTTTCAGATTGGAACTGTTTCCACTCGGGCCCCGGTCCACCTGCCCTTCTCTTCGTATCATTCGTTACGTTATCTGCAGTATTTTTGTGAACGCGGCACATTGACGAGTTGGTCACCCTTGGCTCGCCGCATCCTGTAGCGCACATATGGTCAGTAGCCTCATCGCACTGCTGGTCGCCATTGCCGTCACCGCTGAGCATGTCCTCGCCCCCCATATCGAAAGCTGCCGACATTGTGGTAGACGTTGGAGTAGAGGCCACAAATCGGGATTGCAGTAAGATGCAAGCTGGATGCAAAAACCAAGGCCCCAGCTGTCGAGAAATGACGGCAGCAAGAAGGACGACGAAGGAGGAGGGGGACTCAAGTCATTCCGACATGCTTCAACGATGCCGCAATACACCCTCTGCCCCAAGCCCCCCCCTCATACGTCCCGGCCAAAACGGCCCCAGACACAACGCAACATACAATTGCACCTGGGTTACCCCACCCCTCCGCGCGCAATCCCACATATGGTCCTGAGGGGCCCGATGGGGAGCGCGCGAGGTCTGCGCGACGTGAGTCGCGCCTCTCCGGACCACGGGCGGCGGGGAGGAAGAGGGAGACGATGAGGGAGAGTTGGAGGAAGGGGGATAGGGGTGGACGGGGGAAGGTGAGCCGTTCGGGCCCCTCCCCTCCCTCCTCCTCCTTCTCCTCCTCCTCCTCTCCCAACATGTTTTAACGCGATTAAGAACATGTTGTGCACTCTGTCCTTTTCCTTGGCCCCGGGGGCCCGAAGATCTCCGGGCCCTCGGGGCCACCTCCACTTCATTCTCCCTTGTGTTTCTCTAGCGCCCTCGGAGGAGGGCCCAGGTCAATTCCCCCCTGGGGCGGGGCGCTGTCTACCTGGCACCAGGCCAGCGTGGCTCGCGCAGCTGTTGACAGTGCACTTCGCATCTGCGCACTGCAGGCTGCGCGCCCCGCGCCAGTGACGAGTCGCACCCAAACTCAGCTGGCCCGAAAATGCTGATAGCAGACAAACCTGAAACCTAATGACTCCCCGAGGCTTTCACTTGCTGCTAAGCTTCGGCGACAGCTCTAAGAGAACCGATGGGCTCAAACACGAGCTCCTCCTCAGCTTTGCAGGCCGTTCCGGCGTTGGAGCCTCGTCGCGACGCCGCGGGAGAGTGGCGTAGTCAGCGCCCATGATGGCCCCCAGGGCGCGACCAATGGTAGTGCCAGAGCTCGATTGCGACGGGGAGCGTGGCAGGGGCTCGTATTTGGCATCCTCTTTGTCCCATGTCGCATTGCATAAGATGAACATGGGGATCATCCCCAAGGTCGGCTCGTGGATGGCGTTGCCCGCAAGGTCCTTTCACTCATTATCTGACACGCAGTTCAGATCATCGAAAGAGCATCCGACTTGGTTGCCCCGCGGTGCCCAAAGAAGCCCGAGAGACGCGAGCGAAGGGAAGGGGAGGGCTAGAAGAACGCAGCTCTGAAGTCAGACTACCTTGATCGCTTGCATCTTTCGGGGTTCGACTGAGAGCTCGTTGAGTTGATCGCGAATCCGGGAGTTGATGAGGGAACGCTGCCTCGCCCATGATCGCCAGATGCTGTAGACCTCCAGCGATCTCCTGGGCCTTGTAGTTAATGAGGGTGCCATGGTGCACTAGGCAGGGAATGACAGGCGACTTGGTGCCGAAGCGCTCGTTCTGGCACACGTCGAAGAAGTGCGAGCCATCAAGTCCGTGAAACTGGGTAGCGTGCTCTGCGTAGTCGTGGTAGTGCACCCCCTCGTATGGCGCCAAGCAATCGATGAGCGCCGGGGTCTGTCCGTGTTGGAGGTGATGGCCTTGCAAGCGAGTTTTGCTGTGCATCGCAGTCCTTGTGTAGTCAGGCGCAGCAGCCCAGAGCAAATCTGCCGAGCAAACAACTTGACGGCCGAATACTTTGAAGAACGTACCCCAACCACATTGCAACGATATTGCGCCCTTGAGAGTCATGATTGCGAATTGTCGCTCGCGCTGCAAAGGGTGCCCAAAATCAACGGGTGACATGGCAGCGAATGAAATGTCGTAGAGGTCCTGGAATTCGCTACTCAGCATCCTCCGCGTATCAGGCGAAGGCGTAATCTCCTGCACGACAACCAAGGGCTTCTTGTGCTTCACGAGACCACACCATATAATCCAAGGCCGCATACTGGGGCCTGCCGCCTTGGCCTTCTTCCCACGCTTGCTGTAGTCCTTACATGTGGTGCCAGCTACCCAGATAGTCAATGGGCGACCCCCGCCGCACCCCGTCTTGTCGAGGTGAACGCCATCAAAAGCATCGATCGGCACGTGGAACTCGGCTCTGCATGCGCCTGCGCGGCGAGATCCGCCGCTCTGGCGCAGGCGAGGGATGTCGCGTTGGAACGACATGGACAAGTCTTTCTGCAAGGCCTCGCTCATGAGACTGCGCTGCTTCTTTTTCGTAGCGGTGTCAGCCGCGGACTCCGGCCCCAAGGCGTTCAATCTCTGGCGCATCGCCTCAGAAAGGAAGTCGTTGAGGTCCGCCGCCGAGCGAGCAGGCCGCGAACGGGCCCATGGGCGAGAATCGCCTCTGGATCCGATTCTAGAGGAGAGAGGGGTAGGGGAGTAGGGAGGAGGGAGGAAAGGGGGGGCGGGAACAGGGAGAGGGAGTTAGTCGTTCTTTCCAATCCGATTAGAATCAACCTTGAACTTTGCGGCATCAGGAGGAGGAGGGGGAGGGAACGGAGGGAGGAGGAGGAGGATGAGGAGGACACACACACCCGGCCCAGAATGGCCGGCTGTGCCGGAGGAGGAGGAGGAGGAGGAGGAGGAGGAGGGAACAGAGAGGACGGCCTCCTAGTGTTTCTCAGTGTTTCGGTTGCAGCTCAGGCGGGTGGGCGATATAATGTTGTTTGTTGTCTTGGGCAGGCTGGCGGGTCAGTGGAGATGTACGGCCTGCTTATATATATATATATATATATATGATTGGTGGGGGCATTTGGGTTTCAGTGTTCATGTAGGCGGGTACGTGTTGTCTTGGTAACCAAGCCTTCTGGGCGTGTTTTTTTTGATCTCCACCGACACGCCCATGTACATGTTGGAGTCGTCGTCGCCGTTGGGCCCGTCGAGCATACCGGACATACCCAGCACCTTGACGATTTTACTAAAAACGCTCATGCCAGTCCCCTTCCCGGCGTACTGCTCGCTGAGGGCCGCGCCGCGAGTCAGGTGCACTTTCACGTTGTCAACCCATCCGCGCTCCTGCTTCGCTGCCTGCGACTACAGGCAACGACGGGGCCTCCTCCTCCTCCTCCTCCTCCTCCTCCTCCCCCTCCTCCTCCTCCTCCCCCCCCTTCCCCTCCTCCTCCTCCTCCTCCTCCTCCTTCCCTTTGGCCCCGAGGGGCCTCCAAAATGCATTCTGGCCACGCGAACAGCTCTCGTGTTCCCCGGGGCCCAGGTGGAAGGTGAGAACGATCCTCGAGCCACTCGAGACTGCCACACCTGAGCTTCCGTCCACGCCGGAGGGATGCATACCCAGGATCTGGACGGCTGGCATTGCCGGCGGCCGTTGCTAGAAGAAGAACAATACACATAGACATTAACTTTCGGAGGTTCTTCGGATTTCCTGGATCGGGTTTGGACCCCCCTCCCCTGGCGCGCTCCGCGCGCCAGGGAGGGGGTCTGAGGCCGATCCAGGAAGTCAGCGAAGGACCTCCGAAGGTTTATGTTGTGGATGTTTCTTCTTGATGATGCAGGCATTACGAGAGACGAAGGGAACAGGATTGCCCTGGGAGCTAAAATGGGATGGCTGCAGCCAGACGGCGGCGGAAGCAAGAGGGGGGGTCTGAGGCAAAGGATGTGGCAGCACGCTCTGTTTTGCCGGTTGGGGGTTGCGGCCATTCCAAGGCCCGCCCAGGAGTCCTTGCGGGCCTCTAGAGGCATCATTTGGGTTTCTCTGGAGGCTTTATTGCGCACCTCTGGCAAGCCTCTTGAGGCCCTCACACATAGAATACGTCATTGGAGACCAGAAGCGAATGCACTCACACAAATCCAAACGAAGCCTAGCAAAACACATAAAATTATTGTAACAATTCTTTTCCGATGTCGAAAAATCACATTATTAAACAAAAACATCAAAACATTGGAACAACAATCAAACACAATAACTTTCAAAAGAAATCACAAAACAACTGACAAATTCAAAAAAAAAAAAAAAAGCATTCAGATAATTGCAAAAACAATGCGAAACACTAAAAAACAATATTTCATACAAAAAATCAGAATGTCACCAAAAAAATCATACAAAACACACAATTTCATTAATTCCACAAAAAAATCTGAGAAAAACGCAAAAACAATCCCGAAACGGCCAGTGAGTTTCGAGAGAGTTTCGACGAGCTCCGAGAGAGTTTCGAGGGAGTTTCGAGGGAGTTTCGAGGAGACTCGAGCTCCTCGAAACTGGGGGCAACCCGGGTGATCAAAATCCGATGGTTTTGGCCCCCTGCCACCACCGGTGGTGGCAGGGAGCTCGTCGAAACTCCCTCGAAACTCACGGGCCGTTTCGGGATTGTTTTCGCATTTTGTGAGTAAGCATTGTTTTTTTTTCGTTTTCATGCGATTTCCATTTTTTTCTCTGAGTTTATTTTTTAATCGAAAAAACTGTTTGCAAGCGATGTTCAGTTTTTCTTTGATTTTATTTTTTAAATGGAAAAACCTGCGTTCAAGGAATTTCTGTTGTTTTTCATTTTTTTATTTTTTTATTGCGTTTCATTATGTTTGGCAGATTTCATTTGAGATGCGAGTGTTTTCATTGTGTCCTTGGAATTTGCGTGCGCTCATGTGTTGTTCGGTGTTTCTGAAGGTGTTGACTGGCAATGGTTGTTCTGAAGCGTCCTAGTTTGTCGTTTGTTTGTTTTGAAGACTCCGAATGGTGCACTAGGAGCCTACGGCTTTTTAGAAGGCTACTTGCAGACTCCAGTCGCCGGATTGGCCCAAAGAAAATTGGGCAGAGGCAGGGCTTGCCGAGCAGAAGTTGCCGCCTTTGCACACTTCCCCCGCAGTTCAGAACGCGCGAAAGCCTCGATCCTCGCCCCCCCCGCCCTCTCCAGGTCCGCCGACCCTCGCCAGGGCCCGCGAGCTGATCGCACCACCTGTGGTTGTTCGGGAAACGAGCCCCATCCCGGGAGAAAGCTTTCTCTCGGGGAGGGACCGGTCCGGATCTTTGGGAGCGATCCTCCCGGAGCCGTCTTGGATGCTCGCGAAGAGAAGGCAGGGGGAGGAGGAAAAGGATACGGAGGAGGAGGAGGAGGCGGAGCAGCAGCAGCAGGGGGAGGAGGGAGCCCAGGAGGGAAAAGCATCATCTCCCCCTCCCCTGCTGATGTTCACCCTCCCCTCCTCCATCCTCGCCTCAGAGAGCCTCTTCCTCCTGCTGGCCCCTCCTCCTTGTTCTCCTATCCTATCCCTCCTCGCCTCTTGTTTTATGTAAGCGGGGCGCTGCCGAAGGCGGCCCCGACGCACGCGCTGCATACCCAACAGCAGAAGCGCTCAGCTCAATCCGATGAGCTCGAATTCGAATCGGAACTGCTATCAGTGCTGCTGTTGCTGCTGCTACTGCTGCCAACAGCAGCTTGAGCAGCAGCACGGCGCTTCTGGGCTTTCGGGGGGGCAGCGCGGGTTGCCGCTTCTTTGTCGACGACTCCGCGTATTCGTCAGGCAGACGATCGCGCTCTAAGTCGTTCCAGGATGGAAGAACTGCAAACAGAGTCGAACATGGCACCTCCATATGGAGGTTCCGCGTGGGGTACGCCATGCAAAGATTCAGCCATTTGCAAGGCCCTAGCTGGATTCGCATATCCTCGGGTCCGTGTGCTTTGCCATGAAAAGACAAGGTGCGGGTGCACCGTGTCGTAGGCTTACCAGGCTTGCAATGTGCGTCGCATCGGCAGCAAGTGGCTCGCCATACGTTCGGTGGCTGAAAAGACATCAAGTGTGGCCCCCAATGATACGAGCGAGGGTGCTTAGCCTGCGCCTTGCCCCTGCTACCAGCGCCAGGCGGCGGTGGGGGGGGCGGCGACCGCGAGCGATCACGCGCGCCAATGCGCGAAGAGGCAGCCACAGATGCGCATGCCATCGCCTCTTCTACTTTCTTATAGAACGCCGAGGCCCTATCGTCTGCTGACCCTGAGGCCCCCCAGTCGCCCGGAGCGCCAGGGGCCTTCTCGGGTCTGAGCTTGGCATCTGCCTCTGCAGGCTTGTCTGCAGCGGTTGCGCCCTCCGGCCTACCACTTGCCTTGGCGCCTTTGGCGGCGCCAGCTTCAGGCACGTGGCGTCGCGGAGCAGGAACGTCGAAGCCGCCGCAGTCATCAATCACCGCTGCCTTCTGCACCTTGCGAGACTGCTTGCCAGACTTCACGCCGATCAAAGCCAAGAGGGCAGCGTAGTCCTTCGGCGGCTTCAGGTGCGGAATAACCTCTACGCCCACTTCTCGAAGACGAGGCGCAGACAACAAGACTCGCAAGTAGCTCTTGCACTGGGCGTCCACCCCATGGCGAAACCAGCACAATTTCTCCACCTTGCCGTTCAGGACGAACGGCTCTGGATGTGTGCGGCCAGAGTGCACTGAAGCTGCCCATCCATCCTCGCGTAGGTGGTGAATCATTTCCCACGACGTCATGTGTTCTAAGTCAACGCCATGCCGCGGTTCAAACACACTCCGGGGGTTCTGCAGAACAAGTGAACATTGAAATTCCGCCTTCCCGCGGCTGGTAAGCTGCCACTCTCGGCGAGATGACCCTTCTGGAGACGTAGAGTTTGGCAGCTCTGTCGTTACACCATGCTCCTGTGACATCAGCAGGCAAGCGTGGAGCTTGAAATGTTCCTCGCAAGCTGTGTCGATCTCCAGAGTGCCTTCACCTCCCCAAGCTTCAGGCGCGATGCAAGCTTGCAGCGCCTGCGATACAGAGGTGTCGAAATCACAGCATCCCCCACGCGACGATCTGCACGCAAGTTCAGGGCGACGGTCCCAGACCCTCATGCTCTCCAAGTCTGGTTCATCATTGAGTAACCAGGCTACATCCCCCCTCGTCTGGTGCGCAGTGGAGGTCTCCACGCAAATCGAGATCTCCTCGCCGCCCGGTGCGCTGTCGATGATTTCGTGCGCGCAAACGGCGCGCGCACCCCATGGAGCGTTGTTGTCCAGGTCGGTACGTGCACGCTTCAGATTACCAGGGCTTTTGAGCACAACACGAAACACTCGATGGGCTGTATCTAGTTTCAAGCTGCTGGCCTGCCCGGTGTCCTGCTTCCCGCTGAGCTCGCCGCCGTCGTCCTCAGTCAGTTCAGGGAGATGGCTGTAGTCGAGCTCAGTGAGTAGTGCAGATAAATCGTCGGTGCTAATGCCAGGGCCATCTCCAGGCCCAAGAATCTCTGGTTCTAATTCTGGGAAGCATACGATTGGATCCCTGAAAGTGCGACTCGGCAGCGATTTGAACGCTGAGTTATTTTTGTCTATGATGGAGTAGAAACAGGTGGCTGATATGCTTCCCTTGAAATGTGCCAGCTTCATTTTGCACAGGCATCGATCCAAGAAAGAAGCGGCATTCGTGCAATTGGTGCCGCCTATGCCAGGAGAGCCTCCTGAGGGGCCCTCGCCACCGCCGTCGCCCGGAGCGGCGGCGCCGGAGGAGCCGCCACCTGCTGGCGCACCTGCAGCTGGTCCGCGCGAGCTGCTGCTGCCACCACCTCCGCCGCCGCCTCCAGATCCGGATGGCTGGCCGCCACCTCCGCCGCCCCCTTGGGCGCTGGGAGCGCCTGCAACAGGCGGTGGCATCGGCGGCCCATCGCCGCTGTCACCATCGACATCTTCACCATCGCCAGCGCCGGGGCCTGGGCCGCCGCCGCCAGAGCCTGGGCCAAGGAGCCCAGCTGGCCAGACCATGTACTGGGACGGAATATCAAGTCGATACACGCGAGTCGTTCGGCCCGCTCCCTCCGCCCCCCCCATCCCCCCTCTTCTGCCTCTCCCGCAGAGATCACTGCTGGCAGCGAGGAGGAGGAGGAGGGGGAGGGAGGAGGAGGGGGGGCGAGGACGAGGACGAGGACGAGAGGAGGGGACCGAACAACTCATCCTCGCCCCCCATTCCCCCTCCTTGTTCTCGTCCTCTTCCTCCTCCTCCTCATAAATCCCCCCCCCTTCCTCCCCCCCCTCCTCATCATCATCCTCATCCTCATCCTCGTCCTCATCCTCTTCCTCCACGTTCTCCTCCGTTCTCGCCACCCTCGCTCCTCAGATTTTGTTCAGCTCCCCCGGTGGTCCTCGTTGATGATGGAATGTGGAATTGAACAATCAAGCTTGTGCTGATGGCAGAGATTAGCATCCAAAAAGTAATCGCTGAAAGAAAGATGGTGCTCCATTCCGAGTTGCTCTACGACCTTTCGCCGATCAGGAACCTTTGAAATAGCCGAAACGAAAACGTCCAGCGAATTGCTGCGCGCACCCCTGATATCGTGCTTTCCGAGAGTTATCGACACATACGCAGGAGAATGATGGCGGCATATGTTCAACCTCTGGCTGACGAAAGCGCGCAAGCGTTCCACATTCACTTCCAAATTCGGCATGAATAAGAACCATCCACGCAACGGCGCAATTCGGGCAACTGCTCGAGCTCTACGCCCCGCAAGAAAGAAATGATCTGCCGACGAATACTGCCTGGGGAGATTTGTCAACGCGCCCGTCTCCTCTTCTCTCTCCACCTGGCCCCTTCCCAGACCTGCCCTGATGAATTTCTCAGCCCGTCCCTGATTTTTCCTAGGGGTCAGGATCCGAGGGGAAAGCCCACAAAACACTCGGCCCAATCACGGCCTCGATGGTCCAAGAGCTCACGCGTGAGCGGGCGCGTGCCACGTCGCTCTTGTTCGGCGCAGCGCTGGCACTGAGCCAGGCAAACCGCTGCGCTCCTGAAGGCGAGCACTGCCAACGCCGAGGATGGGAAAATCATGCAATCAGGGGCGCCCCTTCGAACAAACGCAGACGTTTCGGCGACTGCGGTGCACCCTCGAGCTGAAAGCGAACGCATTTCCAAGAAACATCTGCTGGAGGGCTGTTTTTATTGGCGGTGTAAGCTGCACCGGCGCAAGCAACTACAAACAAAATTGGTAAACCTTTTGACTTCAAGCGTGCTCCTCCTCGCTTGTGCACGATCATGGTGACCAAGCCCAACCAAGCGCAATGGTAGGCGCCGCCATGCGTCGGTCTTGAGGCGCAGCTGCAAGGCGATGCGGCGTTTCCCGCTCTCGAAATCCATGAGCAAAGAGGCCTTGTCGTGCTCTGCCAGACCAGCGCAGTGCTCGACAACGAACTGAGCAACCTCCGCACGGAAAGTATCCTCCAAAAACTGATCGAGCTCGCCAGCCGCCAGTTCTGGACACCTCCGCCCCCGCATAGGACAAAGACATCCACCTGCGAAGAAGTTCTCCTTGAGCACCTGGCGGGTTGCTCCGACTCATCCTCCTCCCTCGATTTGGCCCCCCCGCCTCCCCCTTATCAAGTTGACCCGCCCTCGTCATCCTCCTCCTTCTCCTCCTCCTCCTCCCCCTCCTCCTCGTCCTCCTCATTCCGTTGCCGCCCCGCGCGCCTCTTGCTTAGCCGTGGTGTGGCAGCAGCAAGATTGGCACCACGCCGACATATGAGTCATCATATTGTTCATCCGGTTCAGGAGCTGCAAGAAAGACCAAAACATCGGACTGGTAAGAGCCTCATCCACAGCTGTAGCTACGCTGCCCACCGCAGTGCACTTGCCCTCGTCGTCCATTCCAGCAGCAGCATACGGGCGAACAGGGCCGCCCTGTCCCTTGTCAAGGTACCTCTGCAAATTCCAACTGCCACGGATCAACTCGGGGGCTTTCAAGCGGGATCAGAAAAGGTTTTGTCGACAGGATGTGGTAAGGACACGTTGGATAAGGATTCCAGGCTTCCGCGGACGGTGGATGTCCCACCGCGGGCCCGGGAAGCCCCCCCCCCCCCCCCCCCCCCCCGAAAACACCATCGCCAAAGGAGTCCCAAGAAAATGTTGCATTTCTGCCGAAAACGCCCACGTGCACCGACGCCGAACTTCCCGAACCCTTAGGAAACAGTCTTGACAGTTTGGCGAATGGCCCAACCTGCATTTCAAGACCTAGCTAGTTTCGGAAGGCACCTTTGTTTCCGAAAACACCTCTTCCCGCTTGAGAAGCCAAGTGGTCACGTGCTCGATAATTCCCCAGGCGCGCCCGCCATCAAAAGCTGGTGGCCCTGACTTGAGTCGGAAATGAACTGCCTCTGGTAGTAGGTTGTGTTTGTAAAGGTCGCGAGTGCGCGGCGCATGAAAGAAAGAAACAACTCTGGCCAAGTGTGGCTTCATGTTCTCCCAGCAGGATAGATTCTCGAGAAGGCCTTTGGAAAGGCCATCGATCAGGTGGAAGGCCCCGGGCACGCACAGCGCACTTCGAAAAGACACTGGCGGGGCCACGCCTGCGCCCTGATCGCGCCCAGCGCCCGCTCCATCATCGCCAAGAATTCGAAGCTCCTGCCACCGAGGGAATACGTCGCTGACCGAGATATCGTTCACCGTATTCAGGTCCGCCTCCGTGCCCATATCTGACGTCAGCCCGAGGAAACAAGAGGAAAGCGCCGATGTCATTGCCCAGGAAGTCGATTCCAACCTCAAGCTGTGAACTACTGCGCGAAGTTTGCGAGGCAACCCGCTCTGTCTTGTTCCCAGCGCTGTTGGAGGTAGGACGCGCTTGAAAATGTATGAGCCCACCGTCTTCTTCAACTCCTGGCGTAGCTCGCAGCGGTCCTCAGACAGAAGTTCCAAACGCATCATTTCCCGCGCGGCCTCATCGCAGGAGTGCAAGTGTTCACCTCGAACGCCTTGTATTTTAGCAAGTTCCCAATTCCTGCCGCCCTGGGGGCTCGAGTCTACGAGCCCAAAGAATATCGGCGCGACGTCCGAGGCAATCATTGCAGCGAAGTTGTCCTGCATCACCAGCATGAAGGCCACGTTCACACATAAACGAGCACGTGAAATAGTTGACGCCGAAACCACAGCATGGTCTGTTTGTTTGAGAAGGTGTTCTAAGCTGGATTTCCATGCCGGTGGGAGCACGCGCGCCGCTTAGGCAACGGAGCCACGCATGGTGCCGGCCGAACGTAAAGTGAAACTCAACACCATGCACTCAAGTAAGAAACCGCATCTGTATTTCCAGTAACGGCCTAGCCCTTTGTCCCAGCTCCCTCTCTCACATGACAATATGGCTTTATCGTTTGCGGCGTTCTCGTCACAGTCTGCCTCCGCACAACGCAGCCAGTAAACCATATAATTGAACTGCATCTCGTCCTCGACGGGACTAGTAGACGGCGGACCGCCCATCGCGATCTTCTTGGCCCACCCACTGATACAGGCTGCAATCCACCCGAGCGTCCCCGACTTCACCAAACCATCCATCGTCACGAGCTCTGTAGAAGCAGACCAGAGAACTTCATGCTGATGTTTGGATGGTTGCCAGTCAGACTCCATTCCCAAGTCGGCGCGGAGCCCGATCAAGTCACAACGTCTATCGATCTTCACCTTGGGGTCAAGTGCCACGCACCCCCAGGCTCCTCCGCAGATCAATGCGGAAACGAAGGAAGGCAGACAATGTGTTGAACACGGAATTGGCATATCATCTCGCAGGTTTTTGTTGTTGAATCGTTGGCTCCAGGCCTCCACAACGTGGGCCGCTGTCACCCCTTGCGACGTTTGAGCTGCCATGGCCATCTCCACGCATGAAGCTGAAAGTTCGAAAGCCACTGTCCCACCCTGGAAGTCACTGGAAGCACGCCAACCCCCAGTCCCTGGAACATACACTCTCACCCCCAGCCCCCAAAAGGGTTACAAGAGTAAAACCACAACGTTCCGCCGTCCAGGAACAATTCGGCCAGGAGGTTTTCTTTGTTTGGGGTTGGGCGTGTTTCCGGCAACCAAACCGAGTGTGAAGAACCCCGGGAAAGGCATTGGACTGGCTGGAGCAAACGCGTAGCAGCAACAATATTCCATATGCCAGCAACGCCATCGCAGCCCATCGCGGCCATGGCCACTTTCTGATTCATGGTGTGGACCTGAAGTGCGCCATGACATTTACTTGCGAACTCCAAAGCACAAAGGCCAACTATTTGGCCAGACGAATCACGATGAAGTGATTTGGCCATTTGAGCGAATGATAAATGGAAGTAGCCGCTATCGGGTAGCATGGGGTCGTCGAAATACAAGTCCAGCAATTGGAAACGCATGTGTTCTTCTATTGTCTTGGCCATCCGCACAAATGCAGTGCACCCTGTGTGTACGTCCCGAAACCGCCCGGGATGTCCAGATAACCAGCAAATATGCACTGTCATCTGGTCACGGTATCGCAGCCCATATATCCTTTGAGCCAAAAAGGCACTACGGGGTCCCCAGGGTTACAATGAGTTTGCCATCTCCCCCCTTTTCCCTCCCTTCTTATATATCATCATCCCTCCACGTCCCCTCTTTCCTCCTTCTTCCCACTTCCTCCCGCCCCCCCCCCCCCCCCCCCCCTCGTCCGCCTTCCTCGTCCCGGCGCTCCCTCCTCCTCTTCCTCCTCCTTCTCCTCATCCTCCTCCTCGTCCTCCTGCCCCTCCTCCTGTTTCCTCCTCCTCCTCCTCCTCCTCCTCCTCCTCCTCCTCCTCCTCCTCCTCCCCCTCCCCCTCACCCCCCCCCTCCGCTTCCTCCTCCTCCGCCTCCTCCTCCTCCTCCTCCTCCTCTTCCTCCTCCTCTTCCTCCTCTCCTCCTCTTCGCATTCCGTTTTTTGTTGTTTTGGCTGCCACATGCGTGGTTATGGGCGGCATATGTTTTCGGTCGGAAACCAAAATTCAGGCCCGCGCGGAGAAATTAACTAGGTCCAAGACGCCCTAGAAGGCCAAGAGGCCCCCAAGAAGCCCCCCCAGCAGGACCTCCAGGAGGCCAAAATCAGTGACCCCTCGTATGTTGTTCAATGATTTTGGCGTTCCCGCCTGGTCGGGTTTCCGATGCTCCAAGACGGGCCCATAGACCCCCAAAATGGCCCCAAGACGGCCCAAGAGGTTCCCAAGAGGTCCGCAAGACGGCCCAAGAGGGCCCAAAGACAACCCAGGAGGCCCCTAACAAGGCCCTAGAGACCCCTAAGGCGGCCCTAAAGGGCCGAAGGCCAAGAGGCCCCCAAGAGGCCCCCGAGAGGTCCCCAAGAGATCCCTAACAGGCCCCAGGAGAACCTCCAGAAGACCAACATCCTTAATTGACCTTACAATGTTTTATCGAGCATGGCGTTCTCGTTTTTTCTGGCGTCCGACGTTTCAAGACGGGCACATAGCCCCCCAAGATCGCCCAAAGACGGCCCAAGAGGCCCGCAAGACAGCCCAAAATGGCCCCAAGACAACCCGAGGCCGTCAAGACGGCCCCAAGACTGCCCAAAGACCTACAAGATGGCCCTGGACCGGACCCGGACCCCAAGACGGCCTCTGACGGCCAAGAGGGCTCATAGGATCCCCAGAGGCCCCGAAGAGGTCCCCAAGAGGCCTCAGGAGAACCCCTAAGAGGCCCCAGCAGACCCACAAAAGGCCCCTTCGAGCCCAGAAGGCCTCAAGAGGCCTCCTCCTCCCTCCTCCTCCTCCTCCTCCTCCTCCTCCTCCTCCTCCTCCTCCTCCTCCTCTCCTCCTCCTCCTCCTCCTCCGCCTCTCCGCCTCCTCCGCCTCCTCCTCCTCCTCCTCCTCCTCCTCCTCATCTTCCTCCTCTTCCTCCTGTTCCTCTTCCTCCTCCTCCTCCTCATCCGTACCCTCCCTCTGCTCCTCCTATCTCCTCTCCCCAGTTTTTCCCCAAAGGAATCCACAACGGCTGTGGGGAGCACATAGTCCAATAGCTTGGCCAGACTTCGGCCCAACCGTTGGCCGAATGGGCGCTTCCAAACGGTAGGGGCCGACGGTGATTCGACGCAAGCGTCTTCGATCCGCCGCCCCCATGTGCTTGCCACCGGGGTGCACGGCGTGCCAAATCTCAGGACTGCTTTGGTTCTGTTTCAGAAAAATCATAACGGGCTTCGGCCGATCCCGCCGGCCACGCGGAAAATGCACAGTCCGTCTGTGCATCTCTTCAAAACGGCCCTAAGATGGCCTGCGAGACTGCCAATATGGCCTCAAAGACGGCCGAGATGTCCCCAAAAGAACCCAGAATGGCCCCAAGATGCACCCGAAACGGCCCAAGATGCACCCAAGACGGCACAAGAGTCCTCAAGATGCCCCAGAACAGCCCAAGAGGACCCCAGGAGGCCTCCAAAATGGTCGAAGAGGTCCTCCAGGAAGACCCGAAGAGACCAAAATCACTGATGCACCTCGAGGTTGTCGATGATATTGGCGCGTGCTCACCTTCTCGGGCTCCCAGCGCTCCTGAACCGGCCCGAAGCCCCCAAGATGACCCCAAGACGGCCCAGGAGGCCCGCAAAACGGCCCCAAGACAACCCAAGGGGCCCCCAAAAACGGCCCCAGGAAGGCCCCAGAGACATCCAAAGACGGCCCAAAAACGCCCAAAGAAGAACCCACGACTGCCCGGGGAGGTCCCAGGACGGCATCTGAAGGCCATGAGGCCTTTTAGAAGCCCCTAGAGGGCTCCGAAAGAACCTCCACGAGGCCGAAATCTTGAATATTCATGAAATGTGTCAATGGTTTTAGCGTTCTCACCTGTTCGGGCATCCTTTTAGCAGCGTTCTCGCCTTCTCGAGGCCCGCAAGACGGCCCAAGAGGGCCCTGAGACAGCCCAAGAAACACAAAGAACCACACCAAAACGGCCCTGGGGACCTCCAAAGACAACCCTCAAGCGCCCGAGGGACCAACGACTGCTCAGAGAGGGCCCAAGACGGCCTCTGAAGGCCAAGAGGCCCCTTAGACGCCCCCAGAGACATCCAGAAGGGCCTCCAGGAGGCCAACATCTCGTTCTCGCCGTTTCGGGCTTTCGACGCTCCACGACTGGCCCAGAGGCCCCCAAAATCGCCCCAAGACGGCCCAAGAGCCCCCCAAGAGGCCTGAAAGAAAGCCCAAGAGGGCCCTGAACAGCCCAAGAGGCCGTCAAGACGTCGCCAAGACGGCCCCAGAGACCTCCAAGACGGCCCTAAAGCGGGCCACGATACGGCCTCCGAGGGCCAAAAGCCCCCATAGACGCCCTCAAGAGGTCCCCAGGAGGCCTCAGGAGGACCCCAAGAGGCCTCTTCGAGCTCCCCGAAAGGCTCCCAGAAGCTCCCAGGAGGCCTCAAGAGAAACTCAAGAAGCCTCCTCATTTTCTCCCTCATCCCCCTCCTCCTCCTCCTCCTCCTCCTCCTCCTCCTCCTCCTCCTCCTCCTCCTCCTCCTCCCTTTCCTCAGCCTGCTGCTCCTCCTCCTCCTCCTCCTCCTCCTGCTCCTCCCTGCTCCTCCATCCTCCTCTCTCCTCCTTCCTCATCCTCCCTCCTCCTCCCTCCTGCTTCCTCCTGCTCCTCCTCCCTGCTCCTGCCTCCTATTCCCTGCTCATCCCTCCTCCTCCCTCCTCCTCCTTTCTTCTCCCTCTCCCTCCTCCCCCTCCTCTCCTTCCTCCTCCCTCTCCCTCCTCCCTCCTCCCTCCTCCCTCCTCCCTCCTCCTCCTCCTCCTCCTCCTCCTCCTCCTCCTCCTCCTCCTCCTCCTCCTCCTCCTCCTCCTCCTTTCTCTTCCTCTCCCAAGTGATCCCTCAAGGGGATCCCAACCGCTGGGGAACACATAGTCCAATAGCTTGGCCAGACTTCAGCCCAGAGTTTGACAGCATGGAAATTTCAAGCAGACATGGGACGGCCATTCGCCATAGGCATCCTAGACACCAGCAGAGCCAGCAACGTTCTTCTCAACATCGTAAACGTGCGTGTCTGGCTCGCCGTCGACGGGTCCTCCCTCATATGGCCCATCGTCAAAGTCCTCATCTGGCGCCGCCCTAACGCTAACCTCAGAGCCACGGTT